ATAAGGCATAACGCAACTAATTAAAAATTGCTTCATAGTATTTTTTTTTTTCGTTGGCCATTTTTATTTATCTTCGTCATGAATCCTTGGATTTTTTGTCTTCTTCATAATCCTTTTACTACTAAAAAGCATTGTAAGATGTATTTTGCTTTTTTTTTTTGTCGTTCCTGTGTATTTTTTCTAGATTTGAAATATAATCGGTGATGGGGCTCACCTCAGGCTTGAGTTGACCTTATCCTCTAGAGCTTACAACTAAATTAATAAAACCTATCTTATGTCAGTTGTTGCCAACGTTTGGAATTTTAGCTGGTAATAAGTTGTTGAAAATAGGGTTTGCCAATTGTTAAGACTTTTCGAAAAATGATTTTTTTTCGTTTAGTAAGAAATTCTTCCACTGTTGAAAAATTTAGCGCGGCTTGTTTATGCAATTTTTTAATTCTCTGGATCGTGGTTCATCTTACTATTTTTCGGATTATTCCATTTTGGAAATATTCTAACCTTTTCGCAGTTACTTTGCTGACTTGATCGAACAGAGGTGCACAATACAACAGAGCTGTATTATACTTGTATAGATGATGAGCTTTAGGAGTAAAGATGTGTTTGTTGTCCTTTTTAAATTCTAGAATCTGTACGTATTATTTTTTTTTGTCAAAATGTCTACTTAATTTCAAATGTCTGTCACAATTTCAAATGAATACTGAGATATGTCAAGTCAGTCGATAATTTAATACTTTTTTGTAAACTAGACATAATTCCCTTTAAATACAAGGAACCTGCGCAGAAGTTGACTAATTAGTGGAGTAGGGGACCTGTACTTAATTATTTTTAATTTTTTTTGTGTGTATGTTACTAATTCCCTCGAACTAATACAAACAAAGACTTGAATCATGATACATCAGGAAGCAATTACTTCAATAAGAAATACAATGAAACAATTATAAAATGGATATTTAAAGCCAGAGGAGAATTAATAAAATTAAACTATCGGGTATATTACGAAACAAATAATAAATTATGTTCATTATGCAATATGAATGAAATAGAAAATATCGTGCATTTCCTTGGTGTATGTACTTTTCTGGCGGAACTTAGGAGAAGATATTTCGGAAAAGACATTTGGGGAAATAATTGCACATTTGAACGGAATAAGTTGGTTATATCTATCCTATTGTTGTAAAACAGTATATCAATACAGATATGCCTCATGCCAAGAATTTAATTATTAATTGATGAATAATGTTTAAGCAGAAAAAATTATTTATGTAATTATATTAAAATATCTATCCACGTCAGGAAAATTTAAACAAGCATGTGAGCATTTTATTCAGAAGTCATCAGTGGCATCTGAGAGAGTCATAGAAATAATAAAAAAAGGGAAAAGTGACTCCTGGGAAAGTAAAAAATTGTTATTTGACTCCATGGTCTCATCAACACTGCTTTATGCTTCTGAAATATGGAGCCCCAATTATCTTGAGGCAATCGAAACGGTCCAACATAAATTTTTAAAGCAACTGTTTGGTTGGCCCAGAAATACTCCAAACTACATAGTCCGCCTCGAAACAGGAAGAGAACCATTAAGCATGAATGTAATAAAAAAGATGATAAATCTATGGATCAAGCTGGAGTTCATGCCAGAAGAGCGACTCCCAAAACTTTGTTTTAACAGACTTAAATCTTTAGATAAGGATAAGCCTGACATAGACTTCAATTGGGTGTCTCAATTTAGAGCAATAGCCGAGCTTAATGCCTTTGCAGAAGAACTTTCTGTTCACCACACAAACGGATTTCTTCGATACAAAGACGACATCCTTGAAAAAGCACACAACTATTATTTCTCAGCCGACATTCAAAGAGCTTTAAACTCAACTAACTACCCTTTACACAGAATGTTATGCAAGTTATAACGATCCCGAAGCGTACCTTACTTTAAAGTTCATATAAAGAAATTGAGATGTGTTAGTCAATTAAGAGTTGCAAATCCAGAACAAATCAGAATTTATGCAAAAACCACAACTTTTTCGATTGAGTCTCAAGAAATTTGTATATTATGCAGTCAATTTATCCACAATAGTCTACATCATATTCTCCTTCACTGCCCAGCATACAATGAATATAGACAAAAATTCCTCCATAACTTCATCTCAGAATCTTCTGATAACCACAACATCGAAACTATATTGAATATAGACTGTGTTGATAAAGTAAACAAAGTTTACTATTATATGATGGGAGTACAAAAAGTACATTCACAAAATTGTTGATCATAGCCCATGTTATATTAAGTGTTTGTTTTTAGTTTATGTTAAGAGTAATATTTTGTTTGTACATTTACATATTTTTATTTTTTATTGTTTTATCATAGTAACAGGTTCATTTAACTATCATTATGCAGTAATCGTTTTATGTTTTTAAATTTTATTGTTTTTCCTGCTTTCTAAAACCCATTATAAACGGAAAATATTGTAAAGTTTATTTATATTTAAATGATATGTAATGTTATGTAAATTTGTAAAACCGTATTATTGTACAATAGCCAAGCTAGGCTCTATTTGTATGGGGAACCCCCCCAAAACAAATAAAATATCTATCTATCTATCTATTAAAATATCTATATTAAAAATTTGTATGTATTTATATATTAAAATTGTATTGTGTATTTATAATTGTGATAATAAGATTTGATATATTTTGTTTCTATATTTTTTAGCATTTACATTGTATCAATTAACATTAACATAGTAGTTTCTATATTATTGTATCAATGATACATGTTTTGCCAATGCCAGCCTCCGGCTGATGGTTTCAGGAACCAACCCGTAAATATTTTTTTATTGAGCTTGGATACTTTTGTTGTTTGTTATTGTATAAATACTCAATAAAGAAATCATTTATTCATTCATTCGTTCCCTCGAACAGAATTTGGACACTTGATGTAAAACTTTTGCAGGCGCCTTAACTAGCTTGACCAACGCTGCCCCAACTGAAGCAATGGTTGAATTCCCAATAGTGATTCAAATCGCGTAAAATACTTGGTACTCGGTACTCAGAATACCATTTGCCCATCTCTGACTCCTTTGCTTACCACCGCATATATGTTGTAATTTTCCAATAATATTTTAAATATTATTTTACCTTTCTTTTTCAAGCTTACCTTTTTCTCTTTAAGCTACTGGTAAACTTGATGGTATTCAATGATTCCAATTTTTTTTTTTTGTTCTCTATCACTTTTTCACTTTGCTGTCGATCCTCCGAGGACAGCCTCCTATCCGCTTGATGGAGACACATCAACTAATTAATTGGTCCAATTCGTGGAGGACATAGGGTAAAGCAATTGTCAAGGGCTGGAAGGAGGGATTGAGCGGGAACGGCGGGTTCGCTTTGTTGCAGACTTCACCTAGTTAGACCCTAATGATGCCCTCAGCCCCACGCCCCGTTCGAGCTAGTCTTTGTTTCTGGCTTAACTTTTTTTACGTGAGAGGCCTGTCAGCATAAAAGGAACCTTTCCCCTTCGCAGAAACTAAATGTTCCCTACCTTCATCAGCAACAAATCCAGCCGGAAAACCTCTTAATTTAGTCCTGATTTAATGCAAGAAACATAAGCAATGTTAAATCACATACTTCAGCTCCAGGCGTATAAAGCAGAAAATTCTATAAGGTTTTATATCGGCTTTGAATAGATCCTAGATTAGGCAGAATCTCTCGGAATACACCTAGCCTCAATAATATGGAGGATTAATGAGCATAACCATGACCAAATTACTTCCTTCTTTAACCTTTGCCTTAGACAGATGGTATCATTTTTTTGCAAACAGCTGAATCCAAGATGCTTCATGGCTTACAGTAACAGTTTTTTTTTTTCAATATCTCAGGCAGTGGATTACTTGTTCCCACAGCGGAAATATTTTCGAGGCCTTGTATAACCAAAAAAAGTCCTAAATAAAACACGATAAAAGTGATAACATGAACAAGGCGGGATAAATAATATGAAATAAAAAAATTGTTTTTGTTCTATAATCATAAAGTAATAACTTTTGCAATATTTACAATTATAATTGTGTTTAAATTACTATGGTAAATTGTAAATATTTTAAATTACATTTTTCTTCAAACATCTTCTGTAACAGAAAATATTCAAATATTTATAAATTCGTATACGTCACTAGCGGAGCCAGGAATTAATTTTTGGGAGTTTCAGCCCGAAAGCTTCTCACTTTCTCTCTCTCTCTCTCTCTCTCTCTCACTCTCTCTCTCTCTCTCTCTCTCTCTCTCTCTATATATATATATATATATATATATATATATATATATATATATATATATATATAACGATAATTACTTTGGAAGAAAAAGAATGAAACTAACTACAATTATGCAGCATTGGATTTTTTTAAAAATAAAACATCTGTAACAGAGGTCAGTAATTTATCGAAGCACTATCAAGTGCTACAGAAACTCTTTATTTATTATTTTTAAGGCTAATTAAGAAAAAAAATCACTTGTATGTACATGTTTTGTGAATGTTTAATGTAGCGCAAATATCAATGCTCTCCAATGTGGCAGAATGTATCGATTGTCAACTAATAAAGAAAATGATTATTACTTATTACAAAATGGATGAAATTGTGAAAATATCCCTCGCTTATAGTACAAAGGTCCGATCTTTTGTTTCTGAGATATTTTAATCCAATTGCAAAAGTTAGTCGAATCCAGCCGACTTTACCCGAATGGACGTTACATAGCTAGCCGAGCCCAGTCTCATTCAATATCCACAAAATAAATTGCCAAGCGACCTTAAAGATGTTTCGCTCCAAAAAAATATATTTTAAATATAATAAATTCACACGAATGGCGATCAATATAGTTGTAAAACGCAAATATGAAAACGTGGAGGTCCACTATAATAGTTGAGACAAATTTGCTATCAGGTCTGCTACTTGACTTTGTAATAACCGAATTCCCCATACAAAACAAACCTCAATTATGCCACTGGAACCCAGGATTCAGTAAGCTGTTCCAGGGAGCGGTGGAGCGGGATTCGGAACGTCCAATACATTTGAATGGCAGAAAGGGGGGATATAGGAAACGTATACCCGCTGTTTCTGAATATCATGAATGGAGGGAGCTGTATCCGGATGTCTCTGCTCCGTTCTGGAATTCGCATTAGTAACATCGATCCAAGAATTCAATGTGTAGTTGTTGGGATCAATCCGTTTCTGAACGCTACCACACCGATGTTGACTCACCGAGACAGTTTAATGGAGGTTAATGATATAATAATATGCGTATCTGACCCTTTGGTTAAATGCTCTTACTACCAACAACGAATATCCAGTAATTTATTTACAAATTTCGGAATTACCAACTTAGAGATTTTCGAGGCGTGCACTATAGGTTGGAACGAAAAAAAAATTCGGCGGACAACTTCCTAACAGCAATCATAAGTTTGCTTGTTTGTTGGGTTTTCAAAGACGTAAAACATCCAGGTCATCAACTCTTGCAAATTAATCTTGCTTTTATGAAATCTAACATTAACTTTATATTGTCTTCGTCATCACTCAAAATGTTCGATATGGGAGGTGTAAGTCCTAGACTATTTAGATTTGATATGTAAAAAGAACATTCCTTTTTTTTTTTTTTAATATTTAAGGCAATAATACTTCCAATTTCCTTCGAATTCTTTTAATTACATTTGTTATCTCTAACGTTTCGGGACAATTTTCCCATCATCAGAGCAATCTTTATCTTGACTTTATTTTTTTGATGTGGCACCATTTGTCAAAAATTCAAATATTTGTCACATTTATTTTATCTTTATTTTTGGTGCTACACATCTTTTCTTATTCATTGTTACACTAACCAACAATGAATTGAGTATAGAAATAAAACTGAAGATAGCCAGATGTTGGTTAGTGTAACAATGAATAAGAAAGGATGTGTAGCACCAAAAAAAATATAAAATAAATGTGACAAATATTTGAATTTTTGACAAATGGTGCCACATCAAAAAAAGAAAGTGAAGATAAAGATTGCTCTGATGATTGGGAAAATTGTCCCGAAACGTAAGAGATAACAAATGTAATTAACAGAATTTGAAGGAAATTGGAAGTATTATTGCCTTAAATATGAAAAAAATTATAAACGTAGGCTTTCTAATAAAAAAAGAAAAATAAGAAGAACATTTGGCTTACACACTTACATATGGCTGAATGTAAGTGTAATATTGCAGTGTCGACATTATGGTGGTGGCTGCTTGCTAATGAGATGTGAATGGGTAAGGTTGGTGTGGCATATTCTTAGTCTGGTTAAGACAACTTCTCTGTGGATAAGACGATTCGACGTTGGCCACGGCTTTACTTTTTTAAAATATATTTTTAATTTACTTGGCGGTCTCTCGTTCCACATAGATTGCCAGTTATGAATTATTTATTTTTTGATGGGAAGACTGCGGTGTTAAAATGGGAGTACCCCGGCCAGGAATGGTAAGTGTTTGTTTCGCTGCTACATCCGCAGCAATCATAAGTTACCTTTTTATCTCGAAAAAGACTTTACGAAATTAAGTTGTCATATTGTATATTAAATAACAATTAAATCCGTGCCAAATCGGGCGGTTTCTTAGACAGCGAAAACTTATATCAAGGAAAATAAGTTAGCATATATGTATGAAGAGTTAGATAAAATTAACACAGTACTACTTTATTTTTCACAAACTTTACTTTTTCAAATGCTGGCGTATCTACAAAGCATTTTTTATGCCAGTATCAGTGTAATAAATTAATGAAATCCATATATGACCCCCCTTCAACTTCAACTTCATCCCTCATTATCCCTGAAAATTTCATTATAATAGGATTTGTTCAAAGAAGTACCTTTCTCAGCACAAATATTTCTTAAATTTCCTACTCGAATAAAAAGCTTTATTATTTTTGGTATGGCGAAAGTAATAACAAATAATAGAATTAAAATGCTCTTTACTTTACTTTACATGCCTATCACCTCCGAAACGTTGAATGCTACTTACGCTGACGATACAACAATTTTAACAAAACATGACGACCACAGTTTAGCCTCACTGAATTTACAAAATCCCTTACTACAATTACGAAATTGGTATTCACTTTGGAAAATTAGATTAAATCATGACAAATCACTACATATAACATTTACGCTTCGACGAGTTTATATCAGCGACAACCAAATTCCTCAGACGGACACTGTACGTTATCTCGGGCATTCGACAGAAGGATGACCTGGGACCACATGTTAAAATGAAACGAAAGACTTTGAACAAGCGACTGAAAATACTATACTCACTTTTTTCCCAATCAAAACTAAAAATCACACAAAAACTAAACACATGCGCTTACCTACTTAAACCCATATGGATATACGTCTCACAAGTTTACAGTTCTGCAAAAAAGACGCACTTACAAAAAGTACAATAATTTCAACCCAAATTTTTAAGATTAATAACATCAGCTCCTTGTTACGAAAACAACAAAACCTTACACACCGACTTACTACGACCAACTATTGACCAACACATACGTACTCTCTACTCCCGATTTCACCTTAAACTACACGAACATCACAACGGATTATTAACGACATGGCCACAGTTGAAATAATCACCAAGAGACGATTAAAGAGGAGCTGGATGAGAGATCTCCTTTCCTGAAGTAAGAAAGTAAACCAAGACCAGGAAGAGGTGCTGCTGGGTACTATTCTTCCTCATGCCTAAAATGCCGATTTATTTTACTTTAACATCACATCTGGTTATTGTCAAGACTATGACCCTTGTGGATAAAAATATGAAGAGAAAAAACTATTCTAATTAGGTGTTTTATCTTTCTTTATTTTCATCAAATATTAAATCATTATAAAGATGATTTAAATTTCTAATAATTAATATATTTCGGCATTCTTGTGAAGTTCGATTCAATTAAATGTCAAATTAGATGTTTACTAACTTTCCCCCCAAACTTAAAAAAAAAAGTAAAACAGAATATTTTCTGTAAACATATTCTTCCACACCTTGCTAGATCATATCGTAAAGTGAATCAGGAATAAAAAGTGTTGAGGACTTAGGGCGGATAAGCGGGACAGAGGACTAATTATATAGGTCCAGAGGACCTCAAAGGACTTACCTCCCCCCCACACTATTAGCCTAAGGGCCAAGATCCCTAAGGTAAATTGAAAATGACACCTCACACAGCAGCACATTATCTTCTCAGCGGTGAAATACCTTGGGACCAAATTTATCTTACTTTTTTTTTAAAGTTTATCTTTAGCACCTATTTTCTCATGATGGTCGCTTAGATTGTAAGGATTGGAGAAAATGTGAAGAGGTGTGTTCAGTAAATGGACTTGTGTGAATATAAAAAAAATAATTAACTAAATATATTAAAAATATCAAATTAAATTCTATGATAAAGACAGGTCTGGTATACACGGCCGCTAGATCTGGACATTAACCGGCATCCTAAAAATATTGAAGAAAAATCCTCCGTAAAATAACCGGAGTGATCTGGGATCAGAGTACTAATATAAGGAGAAGAAAAAACACAAAATTTATTGCTTACAAAAATTGATCAATAAACATCTCATGATATGAAGGCAAGGAGATTACGATGGGCGTGGCATGTAGTTCGGATGTCAGGAAACCTCTACACAACAATGAATTCCTGATTAGTAAGCAAAATATTAGGGCTGGTTAAGCTGGAAAAAGATCTACAAGGTGTGTAATGCAAAAAAATAAAATAAATAATATATATATATATATATATATATATATATATATATATATATATATATATATATATATATATATATATATATATATATATATTAAATTAGATGGCGACATCGAAAAACTTCCATTTTCAAGTTCTTAAACTAGAGAGATCCATCAATAACATTTTGAAGTTGACCGATTGATTCTTTGAAATTTCTAATACAATATCATTTTATAAATGGGTTTTAAATCAGAATCTATTACATTTATTACTTTAAAAAAACCTCATTCATCAATGTTATTGATGAAACTTTTGTTATTTATTTTATTACTTTGCCAAATGAAACAAATAAATCTAGCTGAACTTTTCAACTTTTTAAATTTATAGTAATGATATTGAGATGGCGTGTCCTATCTTTTTTTTTTTTTATCGAACCTTGGTTTCTCCCCCTAGTAGCTTTAGTTTTATATTTTTATGTTTCAATAGCCAGTGAGTTAAGAAAAATTACACATTTATTTATCTTGGGTACATGAATCATGTAAATGAATCATTATTTATTTAACATAGATGTTATGTTTTTTTCCATTTTTAATTGTAATCACAAAATTGAATTTATATAAAATAAAAATAAGAAAAGACAAATTTAAAATAGAAATTACTATAAAACTAAACTAACAGAGTTCCAAGCTAAGAAAATAAAACAAAAATAAGTTAACAAGCTCTATGAAGTACAAGTCTTAACTTGAATTAAACCAAACTCCTTAAATTCACAGGTCAATTAAATTTGAGTATTTTTTTAATTGGTGGTTAAGTGCAACTAAATTATTCAATATCAATATTACCATAAATTAACCAAGTGACAATGGACAAGTATTAAGTAGAGAAAATCAACTGTTGTGACTATTGTTATAAAAAAAAAAAATAAATAAAAATGAAAATATGATTTAAATTAATTAAACTCGGTAAAAAAGTTGAAAAAAAAATTAATTTTAAGAATAGAAATAATAGACAAGTTCCTCATCGAAAGAATTCATCGACGGATTAATTAAGATTCATATTGAGTTTAAAAAAGATATGCAAGATTTACCACTCTTGCGTCTATTCAACATTCTTGGAATGTTACAGGACACAGGAAAAATAAAAATATCCAAAGATACATTTAACTAAAGATATCAGAAGTTTCGAAACAAATAAGTAGATATAAAAAGTAAACAACAAAAATAAGTAAAGTAAATTAAGAAATAATAACACCGAGGTTGTAGTTACATCCAGCGGATCCATCGATCACAAAAGCCGAAGGAACTGCTGAGCTATCGTTGACTCACTCGATGAAAAAAGTAACGCGCTGGATTTAACTTTCACATACTTACATATGAAATATATAGTAAGAGAAAGAACCGAGATCGTGACAATTTTTGAATCCGAGTTTCTAAAGGAAATACATGTATTGAGGTCTCCTGAGTATAGCATGTTCATACACATGACTTGTGTATGTGAACAGTCAAGCTAATAAATCGAACGATACTGAAAGTCCGTATTTTGTTAATGACTGGTATATTACAGCAGCTTTTTGGTTAAGATTGGCTAACCGGAAATGCCTCTTTATATACATGATTTTATACATACAAAAATCTCTAACCAATTTGATTAAACTCTATAGCTCAACGTATTATTAGGTGGTTTTAAATTCGGGGTAGATTTTATTCCCATTAATACAACTTTACAGGACCTACATGGCGAAATTTCATAATTTCATCTTATAAAGTACCTTTCATTTTGTTTATCTAAGATAATTAACCACTTCACATTATAATATGGAATAAAATATAGATAAATATAAACTATGAAAGAAATTCACAATTAATTATCTGAGAAATAAGGGATCGTAGTGGATGACCGAAGATACCGGAGGTTAGTCGAAATATTAGAGCATTTGTACTAACTAATATTTTGTATAGTCTGTAATTTTCAATTTCACTTCCTTTTTTTTTCTAAAAATATCCATTTCTAGTAAAAGAAGGGTAAGTTGCATGATACGCTCCCCGTATGAAATTTTTATTTATGAATCCATGGAAGACTTTAGGAACGGTCTGATAGATTCTCGATGCCAGCATTGATATCAGAGCTGAGTTTAGGATAATAACCCATCGAAACGAAACAAAAAATAAATGAGAACATTGTTTTTCCTCCACACAATCAATACCACACTCGAATAGGTTATATTAAGAGTGACAGTCCACGAGCGAATGGAAGGAGTTAGGAGCTGCAGGTACCTCTGCAAGACTACAGTATTGAAGTTTACACCATGGAAATAGGTATGATAGATACCTTCCATGACTTCATGCGATAGCTATACTATAAGAATTATTCTAGAAAGATAAGTAAAAACTTGTTCAGCTTTAGGATGGAGAGTTACTAACTTCCACCTCGACGTACTATTCCACCGGCAAGATTCCTCAGCGTTTCATCAACTTTCAGAATTAAATTTTCGTCACGTGGGGGTATATTAATTTCGTCGAGGTATCGCACCCTCATTCTGGCCAGGGCTGCAGGAGGAATGTGCCCCAGATATCTGAGTGCATTCTGTCACCCTCATTAGGTATTCACGGGAAGAACACCCCGGATCCAATGAAAAACCTTATCCCTGGCCCGATAATGACATTCGGAAGAAGTCCTCCTCCCTCCCCCTCAATGAAGAAGGCTGTACCTTTTCCAATCCAATAACCTCTTCATGAGGACTCTTAGCCGAATGGCTCTGGTTACAAAGTGGATTTCAAGTTCGAGCTTTTGTACTTGAATGAGTTCTGTCAAGGGAAAGCACGGGTTATATCTCTTGTGATGTAAACCAGAATGAATAAAACAGAAAAAAAAATCAAATCACACGCTTATGATAGAGGATAGGAATCGCAAAAATGTAAACTTATTATTATCTAGTTCGAAGGCGAGAAGCCACAATATTTTTTTAAAATTTTACTGTTGTTTTTATTTCTAAGTAAATACACATCCTTATACATGATCTCAACTTAATTTTCAATAGTTTGAAACCTAAAAAATTAAATAAAATATCACAAAACTTTCACTTAACACCTTCTTCATAGCAGGAATAAGTATTTTTAGACAAAGGAAAAGTGAAAGTAAAAATTACAAACGCTTTATTGATTTATATAACATTGTTGGTATTTTTTATTTTTATATGTACCCTTATATATACAAATTTTAATATTTATATTGCTGTAATTTATACAATTAAATATTAAATAATACCAACAATAGCATCCATAAATACCGCAAATAAATATTTACATAATATTGTTTGAGTCGTTATTAAGCTCGTGTTACGTATGGAAGCGTGTTCTAATCTTTCGGGCAAGCTCGAGTGCACTCGTATTTGTTTTGTTCCTCAATTACAACTATTCTCCGTTACGATATCTTATTTCTCCTTTAATTATCAAGTTCTTTCATATTTTATATTTAATTATCTATGTTATTGGAGAATAATATAAAATATTCAATTGTTGCAAATGAAAAAAATTAAAGGTACTTTAGAAGAAGCTAATATCGAAAACTCGCCATCTGAGCCCTGTTAGAGAACACCAATTAGAATAAAAACTACATTTTATTTAAAACTGCTTAATTTTACACTGATATGATGAATTTTATTCAAAATCGTTAGAGACGTTTTTGAGAAAATCGCAAAAATGTGTTTAGTCCACTATATAAAATGCGACTTCTGGTTCGATTTTGACGAAAAAGTTTCTGTAACATCCCTAGCATATAAAACCCTTAAATATGCAATTTCACTTACTTAGGACTTTTCGTTTTTGAGCTAGACACACACACACACACACCATTTTCCGGGACTTGGTTATTTAAACTCAGGATACTTCAAAACGTATATTTCAATTGAAAACTGAGATTCGAAAATTTTCATAATCGCAATACTTCCTCTCACTATATATTTCATAAATACAGGTAAGTGAAAGTAAAAATGTACAAATGAAATATAATAATATAAAATTTGTTAAATTGAATAAAAATTAAAAAAAAAAAAGCTCGAAAGTATATATATCATCCATTCCTAACTAATCTCAGTGATTAATGGCTATTCCACAAGTAATATTAGGTGAAAATTATCTAGGTCATCAGCGCCTTATCCATGAAAGTATTATTATTAAAATATTTAGCTGATAGGTTTAACGGAGAAAAAATAAAATAAAATATGTACAAAGAATAATAAATAAAAAATACAAGAAAAAATAAATAGAAATAGAAATCCGTGAGACCTTCGGAGAGAGAGAGTTCACCGTAAGAGGCCTCTGGTTTGGTTCTCGAGGAACGATTCCAAAAAGAACAATGAGCTTCCTCGAGGAACTAGGTGTCGACATTAAGGAAGTAGCGAGGTTGGATGAAAATATAGTTCTCGGCTCCCTGGGAATCATCCACCACCACGTGCATGGCTAGCCGGAGAGTTTTAATTTATGTATTTATTTAATGAAAAAATATCTATTATATTTGTTTCATATTAAATTTTATTTAATTCTAAAAGTATACACTTTAATTTTTTGTTATTGTTCTACTACAATTTTAATCATCTTAATATTGTGTATAGGAGAGGTGTATAAAGAGAGAGAAGTGACAGAAAGGGAAATAAAATATTTTAAAAAAAGGGAAAAAAAGGGTGAACAATGAAAGGAAAAACAAATTATATATATATTTATTTATTATACTCATATAAACTAACCAATTCTGTATATTTATATGTAACTTCATTTATTGTCCTACGGATTAACGAGTATGCTGTTTATTTAGCAACCCAATATAATTGGGCAGCAAGCTTTTATATTTTATATGAAAATTAAGTGTTTTTCTCTCTCTTTTATTAAATTTACCCTTATTAAAAATCCTATTATTTGGTCAGATCTATTACTTGTGTTTATTATACTACTTTTGAAATGGCCGTGTATTCACTAAGTTTAATTAACAATGGTTGTTATATATTCCTTTTTCATTTGGTTTTCTTTTTTTAATTTTTCTTTTTTTTATTTCTTTATTTGTATTTAATATAACAAATTTTATTATATTTTAATTATACATTTTTCCCTTTGTATTAAGTCTAATCAGCTGTTCAATATAACTTTCCTTAATTGTTGTTAATAGAACCTTCTCTTTCCTTCAGTATGTATTTGGATGGCTTCGTGAGATGTCTCCAGCAATATTTTTTTTTTCTTTTTTCTTTCTACATTTATGTGATCTTGATTTCCTGCCTCGATGAGAATTGGACAATTAGCTATCCGCTTATAAGTTGGAGAATCGTTGCTCTGTTTTTTGGATTTGTACATTTATAACTAAATAATTTAATATTAATTAATTCCAGCACTGGATAACAAATCAAAAGGTGTCTGAAACTAGCTCACAGAGACCACATCCGGCCTTGAGGCTTGAATAAGTCTTCCAATTATGATTTATCATTATTTATTTTGAAATTAAGACGAGTAATAGCTGCATATTCTCTTTTGATTCCATGGCAAGACGTCCACTTTGCAATAAATGTTCGAAGATTAGATCCATTGAGACACTAGATTCCTCTTGGATTGGTAACTTTGATGGCCGTGACCATTACAATGGTACTTTAATTAACGCTGACGTTAATTGAATGAACCGTTCGCAATTGTGCAAAGTAGCTAGCAAACAGACTGACCATTCTACTCTAGGATTGGTTCACTTTCAACTTGGGACTGATTGAGAGACCATTCTCGAATGGGAATGGTCAGTCTGATAGATAAGGCTCTAAGGATGGAATTCACCCTGAAGTTTTATAATTACAAAGTTTAAGAGTACTATGATGGTAAAGAGTAATAGTTCATGATTCCGAGAATAAAATAATCTGATTCACAATTTTCTAGTCGAGATCTTTTCAAAATTATTTTTCACTCTTTTTTGCCAATATATCATTCTAAAAAATAATCACACATAGTTTTTGATTATTATTTATCGACGTTTGGGGGAAGCTCTGTTCCCCTCTCCAGCTTCTGAAATAATATATATTTTTTAAATTTTAAATTTTACGTGGACAATAGTTATAGTGAGCTATGAACCCATTCACACCATAATATATTATATACTCGATTATGAACCGGTCATTCTTAATTATGAAATTATGAAATTTTTTGCCTAACTTAACATATATTATTTTATATACATTTTCAAAAAAAATAATATACCTATATAATATGGCTCAAAATTTAGTGTTCAAGTTAATAATAAGTTTGGTCAATGGTTTCTTAAAAAATCATAAGTATATTTAGGGTTGTGGGTATAACAAAATTTGATATTTCATAACTTGATTCCATGTATTATATTTTTAACATGTGCATATAAAATAATTTACATACATTTTATATTAAGTATTTATATTAAAATATAAAACAAATTAAAATTTTATTAATTTAAAAATTAAGAATAACTGATTCATGATAGACCCTATAATATATTATTTATATAACTTCAGATGCTGAATAAGAGGACAGACATTTCCTGATAAAATAATTTAAAAAATGGAAAAAAGGTCTAAACTACACTGAGTTAAGGTGGCCCTTTCCCTCTTTTCGAAGACAATATTTCCTAGGTACGTTCCTTTATCAAATCATCAACAATCATCCTCCTTCTTACGCCTACAACCTCCATCAATTCAAATCCTCAGTCCGTTTCCTTTGCTCAAGATCTCGATCTTCTGATCTTTACACCTCTTCTCACAGATCTGCCTCATTTAAAAACTCCTTTATTGCTCGTGCTGTCAATTTCAAAATTCGGCATTCTCCCTCTGTACCCACATTCAAAAACCTCCTATTCCAATTCATATCCCAAAAACAGTCAGACACTTTTTTTAATAATGATTGATCAACTGATAGTACTATTCCATACTGTAAACTTCACTAGGGATATTACAATATCTTCTTACTCTTAATGCCACTGAATGCATCTATTGTTTTTTTTTTTATTATTTTTTATTCTTATACAATTAAATCTGTACCTACAGTTATAATACGATAATGATGTGTTCACATATTATTCATTATTTAAATACTCTGACATTTTATAATGTCAGATTCGTCTTTCCTTTGTTAGAAAAATCACATAGCTTATTTTAAAGAAAAACTCAATGTATTTTTTATTTTATGTTTTCTCAAAAAGGTGAATATTATAATTTTTCCTACTGTAGATAGTTTTAAGTGTACTGTCATAGTTTTAAGTGTTTTGTATATAGATTTGTTTATTTATTTTATATAGGTTGTTTAACTAATATTTTCTTTACTTTTTCTTGTTGTTATTGTTTTATTTAGGCCAGATGTAGTATTTTAATAGTGTACTATTTTGTTATTCTAAAGGGACGTTTTCGCAGAATAAAGTTATTTTATATTTCTAAACTTAAAATATTGTAAATCAAATTATTTTATTCAATCACCAACTTTATAGGGATGACGCTTCTATTTTCCTGTTTAATGCCATATACTTTGTTTTTTACATATTCAACTGCAGACCCCATGTTTTACAAATATTTTATTTTTATTTACAATTCATCAAAATAAATGCAATTCATTGACTGTAAGAAACGGATCCAAAGAATTTATTACACGAGATAATATAATGTCGATAAAGGGTAAAATGATGTTTTCATAAAAAGTGAATAACTCTACCTTCAGAATTTTATTAAATCTGGGAATATGAAGGAGAAAAAAATGGGGTTCTAAGTGTGGGAGCTTATTTCACTACGGCTTAGTATATTACTAGGATTAACTTTACGATTCACCTTGATAATATGGCCGGTCAATCTTACTTAGTTTTTCCCTATTACGTTTACTAAGTTTATATCCTTCAAGATATATTAATTTCATGGATTTCATCGTTGCTGTAAAAAAAGAAAGAGAAAAAAAGAAAAACCAAAAAAACCTCAATCACTGAGTCCCCTGGAAGGACTTGAATTCAATACTTTGTAACGGTTATGCAGGGAGGTGATTTGACCCAGATTATACTCAAAGGTCAGGACTTCTTAATAATTTAGTTAATTTAGAGTAAAATATAAGAATGCTAAAAAATACATATATATATGGTATATGCTTTACACGACGGAAGTAAAAACATCAACAAGGTGAGATTGATAATATACATATAATATACACTATAAATAATAGCTCATTATAAAAAGGATGGAATTCTGAACATTTCTATCGCTTACAGTATGCAGGTCGAATTTTTAGTTTCCGAGTTATTTTAATCCGTATATTCAATAAAACTCTTTACCATTCGACACTTTTTTTTTCGCCTCTCTAACACGGTGTGAAGTTGACATAAAATTTTGAATAATTGTTCATTACAAAGAGGATGAAATATTGAACGATTGCCTCGCTTGCAGTATGTAGTTCCGATTTTTAGTTTTTGAAATATTTTAATCGAGCAGAAAATAAGCAGCCTTATTCTTCTTGATTTCTCCAAAGCTTTTGATTCAGTAAACCACAACATCCTCCTAACCAAACTTAAAAAATTTCCTTTTTCCTTTAAAAATAATCTTTTCCTGTAGTGGCCTTAATTGGTTCCAATCCTTCCTTACCGGTCGCTCCCAGTATGTTATAATCTCTAATAGCCACCCCATCAGAATCGAATTTGAATAATAGCAGTTTACAGAGAGGATGAAACGATTCCCTCGCTTACAGCTCGGACTACTGCAGGTCGGATTTTTAATTTTTGAGATATTTTAATCCATATCTTCAATAAAATTCGCTATAATTTGGTTTTCACACTATGTCTTCCCTTTTCGCCTCTCTAGCCCGGGGCCGTGTTAAGATACAATTTTGAATAATTGTTCATTACAAATGGGATGAAATGATGAACATTTCCCTCGCTAACAATATGCACGTCCGATTTTTAGTTTTTGAGTTAATCGATGTGCAAAAACATGCAATTAGTCCACCTTACTCGAGGGTTTCATATCGGAGATCTGACGGATCAATCTAATTCATTCTCCAAAAAAGTTGCGAAACGCTCCTGAAGAAGTTTTAACTTAAAAAAAAAGTAGTTAAAAGGAATTGAATTTCCTCTAATTAGTACTTAACTAATATATATAAAGCATTTTTTTTGCTCTCCTAAATAATATTTATAAGTTGAATTTTACTCTTTTTATTTTGACCCCTTCATTTAAATAAAGTTCAATATGTCTTCAATTATATACAAAAAGGTTAAGCAATGCGAAATTTTAGCTAACGAGAAATGAATCGACGCTAACCACACGAATTGACATACATGACACGATCCCCGAGTCCGTAGCGAGACCAATTTCTTTTCGTAAAAAAAAAAAAAAAAATTACTGCTCGTACGAACGTGACTTGAACCGAAACGGCCCTATCCAGAGCAGAAACCCTCTATATCAGTTCCGATTCCTGACACG